CTATGTACTAATAAAATATGAAATAAATTGCATCTTTGAAGTTGTAATTCATTATTCATTCTTTTTATATGTGCTTGTCTTGGGCATAGTTTAAAAAGAATAGAGATTTTTGTGTGAAATTTTCTTGATATTTAGTTTGATTTAATTGGTCAATACTAATTGATACTAAAGGTGTATAAAAAATTCTCTCTGCTATGCAGGGGGAGCTTATGACTCCATTTATTTTTCATTTAGCTTAAAGTTCAGATTCTTAAAAAAATTTCTTTTAACCATCTTTAACTTTCTTAGACTTTAACAGAAGCTAATGAGAAAATTGAAGTTCAGAATCAAGAAATGAGAAAAAATCTAGAAGAGTCTGTACAGGAAATGGAGAAGATGACTGATGACTATAATAGAATGAAAGCTATTGTGCATCAGACAGATAATGTAATGGATCAGTTAAAAAAAGAAAATGAACATTATCGACTTCAAGTAAGAGTTACTGTTAGAATAGTTTATTTACACAGATTTCATATGGTCTCATTACTATTTATTTGAAGCTAGAAAGTAACTTTTTAGGATATAAATTTTTGTGTCTTAATACTACAGTATGTTGCTGTACTGGTAGATTTGTCCAAATGTGTTTCTGTAATCCCCTCACACACCTCATAATTCCTGCTATCTAGGTTATATACTTGAATTAATGTGTGGACAGTAGTCCTGTAGAGCTAGTAACTATGGGGATTTTCCATTAAAGAGACTTGGAAGTCCTGTGGACCATAAAGTTTAATTTATACCTTAAAATAAATTCAGTATTAATATAGAAACCAATTTATTTACATAGAATTGAACTTATTTAAAAATAGAATAATATTTAAAAATATAATTCTCTAGTAATGGAAAACGATCATGCAACTCTATGCAGAAACCATTAAATGTCACCTCTTGCTACAAAACTAATAATGAATATGAGTATGTAATATATATGTGAATATGTGTGTGATAAGTATGTATATATTGCACCAATTTGCAACATTTCTTAAACTGATTATTGCTTTTTAGGTGCAGGAGCTCACAGAACTTTTAAAAGTGAAAAACGAAGAAGATGATCCAGTCATGGTAGCTGTCAGT